CCACCGAAGGTTCCTGAGGAGATACATTGGTACTACAAAGCTGATTTGGCTTGTACTTTTCATCAAGGTGCTCCTGGGCATGACTTGGAGGGTTGCTTTGCTTTGAAGATTGAGGTTCAGAAGTTGGTCAGAAGTGGTACCTTGTCATTCAAGAACGTTGGTTTTGAAGTTCAAATCAAGCATGTGCCGAAGAGTAAACATGATTGATGGTCACAGATGGAAAGCCTTCCCCGATCATTAACTTATTTCTGCTTTTTGTAATTTTTCTTGTTTATCAAAACATTGTTTGCATGTAAGAGCTTGTTTGCATCTGAATGATTATCTTAATACAATGAAGATGTTTGTCTTGAAGAAATTCATTCGTTTCACTCATATTTGTTTTCAAATTTTAAATTGCTTTTGCACTATGATACCAAATTGTTGCTCATTCTCTTGCCTAGGCAAAGATTGAGGGGAGGATGATGATCTAAAGAACACAAAATCTCTTTTTGTTTGCTTTTGGATAAAATCTTGCTGATGATGTACAGGCATTGTTTCAAATCCCTAAACACTGGAGATATAAGGAAGATAATCCCTTGCTAACCCCTTTTGAGCCTTGAAGTAGAAGTTTCTTTTCTATACAAAAAACCTTGAATTTTAACCTGGGGAAGGGTAGTTTTTAGTTAATCTGACTGAGTGTTCAAAGTTCATAAGGAAGATGTTTTTTTTGAAGAGAAACTACGAGGGCTATCCTTCATGTATAATGAATCTAGAGGATGTGGAACCACAATGTTATCCCTCATTCATCAAGAAACGAGGCAATCACAATCCTCTCAACAAGCAAAGACAAGCTAATGTCACACATCTTGTTCAAAAAGTCAAAAATCGAGAAAAAAAGAAAAAAGCCTGCGAAGTCAAAAAAACATGAAAACGTGTGACTTAGGCAAAATTAAGGCATCCCGCTGGACTATCAATTCAAAAGAATTAGTTCAGGCAAAAGTTAGGGAAAATAAAATTGCAAAGAAAGGACTACAAAGAAAAGTCCTCAGCAAAGAACAAATTGGTGACTACAAACACGAAGACATAAGGGGGGTTTCTCTTCCGAAAGCCTCGTCGTTTCCTTGACCGTCACAAAATCCTCTTGAAAGATGAACACTCATGTTGAATTAACTGAACATAGGATTGGAGAACATCATGAAGGGGGTGGGCACCAAATATCTTGAGCCTTAAATCCTTTTTTTTTCTAAAACCATGAACCAGACCACATTACAACCTTCAAAAGTCCTAATTGAAGCAAGGTTATTCTGAAAGCATACTTCAATGAGATAGTGTTCCTGACTCCCATGAATGTTCTAAATAGTTATGTTGGTATCATATGTTTTTCCTATACAAAAATAAATGATGCTCTAACTCGCAAAATTTGTGCGATATCTTTTCAAAATCTTCAAGACTTACACAACTGTTGCATTAGAATTTTCATTCTCATAATAAACTTTTCTAACTGCAAAACAGTTGTTTGATATCAAGGAAGCTCACATATAAGCAGCAATGAGGAGTTTATTCTTTTGAGGCTTGAAACTATGTTGAGTAATTGGCGGATCACGTTAAGAAAAATCGTATCCAGGGGCATGTCACCTAAAGACCTTGAACATGGACATGTTGCTTCTCCCAGTTAATGTTTTCCCAACTTGTTTACTCTTTTGGGGCAAAAATTTGAAGACTTTGTTGTGCCAACTACAGTCAATCCGGGGCAATCACGTCGAGATTTGATGAATCTCTCTAAGAGTTTGAAGACACCAGAGCATGGTGAATGCCAGGTCTTTTGTAAAATCCTCTTGAGATTATTTCTCCTCATCAGCCATATGGCTTGGGGCATTTTAAGTGAAGTTATTCGCAAGAAATGTCGTGCAACACGCAGCTTATCAGCAGTAAACTTGGGGCATCCAAAATTAATCCCAGGGAAAATCCAGATTTGTCAAGATATGTTTTTCATACATCATCAGAGGGTGGTGTTCCCAATATCTCCAGCTAAGCAAGACTTCTTTCCAGCTGAAACTTTGTTTGTGTTGTTATCCTTTCAATGGATTGTTTGCAATAGAAGACTAGACTTTGGGTTTTCTACCTGAAAATATCTTCCTCTCCTGAGATATTTAAGCCTTGTAAAAAGACCTTGCTCCAATGATGGCTTTTGTTTTCTATCTCCAGTAATGTTACCATCCTGTTGAGATTAGCCGAGTGTCGAGTTGTACTGTGATGTCTTATCATTTTCTGTCCATCTCCCCTGTCTGTTTTGTCCGCACATACATGGCATTCATTTATTCATTCACACTTGCATCATGCACGCACAGTTGTATTTGTTGATATTTTTGAGTTCGTATACCTTAGTTATGTCTATTCAAATAGCGTATTTGATCTTTCCAAATAGAGTGTCAACTTAAGCAGAAAGTGCGCCTCTTTTCTAATTCCCCACTGAGTTAACTCTCGTGGAAGAATCTTGATTTAGCTTTCCTTTTCCATCTCTGGATAGGATAAATCCCCATTTGAGTTGTTTCCTCATTGGGCGGAGTCTTGTTTTGACTATTTTCTCTCCAGTTTATTCCTTGATTGAGCTTTGTCTCTTGTGAATGATACCCTGTGGATCTCTCTAGGCTGTGAAACCTAGATGGAAAGTGCATTTATTTTGCAATGTAAATACTTGGTCTCCTCAAGAAGGATTTACTCATGGTCCCCATTGAAGATGAACTTTATTCCCCAGTAGTGTTATCACAACCTTCTTCTGGAATATCGACATGACAACAAGCGACTGACTCTTTATTTGAGCAGTTTGATTATTTCTGATTTCTTTATGACAAATGGCGGTCTCTTCATGAGCAATTTGTCCATCCCCGATGAAATTATTGGTTCTCACCTCCAGCAATATCTTCACGATATTTTATGGGTATCTTTTTGGGAAACAGCAAGCGGCAGTCTCTTCATGAGGCAACTTGTGTGTTATGGATACTCTTGACAAACAGCAAGCGACGGTCTCTTCATGAGCAACTTGTATGTTATTGTCACCTTTGAAAACATCAAGCGGCGGTCTCTTCATGAGCAACTTGTGTGTTATTGTTATCTTTGAAAAAACAGCAAGCGGCAGTCTCTTCATGAGGCAACTTGTGTGTTATGGATACTCTTGACAAACAGCAAGCGGCGGTCTCTTCATGAGCAACTTGTATGTTATTGATACCTTGAAAAACAGCAAGCGGCGGCCTCTTCATGAGCAACTTGTGTGTTATTGTTATCTTTGAAAAAACAGCGAGCGGCGGTCTCTTCATGAGCAACTTGTGTGTTATTGTTATCTTTGAAAAAACAGCAAGCGGCGGTCTCTTCATGAGCAACTTGTGTGTTATTGTCACCTTTGAAAGATAGCAAGTGGCAGCCTCTTTATTTGAGCAGCTTGTGTATCCCCAACAATAATGTCTACTCAGCAAATGGCATCTCTTCGGAAAAGTCCCGTGGGGAAGTTTGTTATTTTATCCTTTTCAAGCGATATCTTGGTTAAAGAAGAAATGTGTTACCGTTCTTGGTAAAATTCAGAAATCAGAGATGTTTATCTCTAGCCACAGTGCTGATGTCAATCATTTCCCTTCTCTAGTCTCAGTACTGATGTAAATCATTTTCTTTTCCAGTCTCGTACTGATGTAAATCATTCATTTCTTCCATCAAAGTTATTCTTTAATGAGAGTCTCTCATTCGAAGTCTATGACTTTGTTTCCCCAGTGGAGTTATAACCTCTTCCCCAGTGGGATTACTGTATAATGTGCTTGGTTTCTCCAGCAGTAGTTTGCCTCATACGGAATCCTTCCTCATTAAATTCAAAATGTTCCATTCATATCAGATCATAAACATAATTGCGGTATCTTATGGCCAAAAATTATGTATTCTATATTTAAGTCCCTTCGATCTCGTCGAAATGAAGATTCCAATCTTCATATCTCTGGATAGAAGAAACTTAAATAGGGGCATCTGTCATACCCTAATTTTTGACCTAAGATCCTGCATTCCATCCGCATCATTGCATGGCAAGAGTTCACAAGCAATTCGACCTATTTTTGCCAATTCCCGAGTCAGATTTCAAAAATTCGTAACTTCTTCAAATTTCAATATTTTGAGGGGTTATTTTTTTGCATATGATTTTTCTTGACACCATCTACAATTTTTCTTTACAAGACAAGAGATGATTATGCATTGAAAAGCCACGAAAAAGTTATTAACGTTCGAAGTTGTTTCACGAATTTAATGGAATTTGATTCTTAATTTTGGACTATGTTTTATCCGACCATAAATTTTACACTTTCTCTTCTTTTATTTTTTAATTCCATGAAAAAAAATCCTTAAAAAATATATATATATTTAGTTCATGTCATCTTAATTTTATTTACATTATTATTCAAAATATCAAAAAAGTAGTCTCTTCAAGTTTCATTTAGATTTTTATTCTTAAGTCAAAATTATAGTCTTCTAGATTTAATTTAGTCAAAATCTCAAAAAAAAAACATGTCTTAGCATTATTTTATTTTAGCATTTCACTTTAATCACAAAAATATATAGTTAATATCTTTTCCTTTTAATTCTTTTAGTTATTATAATTTTCATTTTTTTTCTTTCAATATTAATCTCGATTTGGTTCTAATTTTAATTCAACTTTTTAGTTGAGTTATTATTAAAATTAAAATTAATTTTAATTTCTCTTTAATTTTCATGTTTTGGAAATTTTTAGTTTAATATTTTTTGTTATTATTATTGTTGTTATTATTATGCTATTCCTCTCCTTGTAAAAAATGTCCAAACAAATACCAAGTCTAAACCTTGCTTCAATTTTCATCCAAACCTGTCCACCAAAACAACAAATATATGAAAACAAAATCAGTCCAATATTTTGAAAGAAAAGTGAGGGAAAATACATGTATGGTTATATGGAAAAAATCAGAAAAAATGCAAAGTAGAAAAGGGACCTTTCATGATAATTTTACTGCTACACATCAGTCCAAAAATAATGCCCAAAACTGTAGTTTGCTTGCTATCCAGAATAAACTGCTCCAAACATTACCCAGAATGGTTAAATTTTTCCTGCATCAAGAAAGCATAAGGCAATTGACATAAACTAGAATTCAACTGATATTTGGCTCCAATTTTCCCTCTAATTCTATGATATATTCACTATAAAAACAGAAGCAAAAAGAAAAACACCAGGACACAACAAAAACCAAAAATTTATACACAGCAACTCATAATTTCCTCACGTGAACACTAACCTTCGGTCATCACCACCTTCAAACAACCTTCGTGAGACACCACTGCTGCCTCCTCTCCACCTCACAACCATTCCCTCTCTCCACTACCATTCACAAAACACACACAACAAAAACAGCCAACACCATTAAGCACCAAGATGCTGTAATTGCAGTAGTTTCATGTCCAACAAAGAATATGATTTTGCAGTTATCTATAATGAACCTGTCTCGCGAAATTGAGTCTGATAAAAAGCCATCACTTCCCTCACAACCTTCACAAATACTGCCACTATCCCAGAAAAAGCATAAACAGATCCAGGAAACATGAACATGTTATTAGAACTCAAGAGATTTGAAACATAAGAGAATAAAAACACGATCTCTTCCTCTCTCAATCTAAAATGCAGCGGCTTTTCCTTCTACATCCCCTCATCGCTCCCGTCGTGCTATGTTGTTCATCATCCCGCCTCAATCTCTCATAGATTCGTGTTGATTCAAGCTTTGTCATCTCCGTGCTTTCTTAATTCAAACTCTGATATTTCACTAGACATCGTCAACTTCACGCTCCTACTGCTAGGATGAACTTCGTCCCCTTCAGATTGCAGTGTCGCGCCTTGACCCGCTATCTCGCCATCACCATCATCAACCACTTCACCATCCGAAACTCACTCAGACACTACCCTTGCCATCTCTCTTCCGGTTCTGCATAAAACCCAACTACCGTTCTGCCATCAATTACTACCTTAAGCATAAAAGACAAGCCCAACATTTCCTTCTATGTCATCCTTGCAAGGTGCTTTGCCTAGTGTAACGCCTTCAGCTACAGCGCACCCTTCAAACATGGTTAATCAATCTCTTGCCTGAAACCCTTCCATCATCCATCAATCCGCTGTCTACCGCAACTCACCCAGAACCATTAACCCCTCCGCCGGTTACCGAACCACCACCAGCTACCATCGACAAGCTCCATCACCGTAAACCCCCCAACCTACGCCCAACATCACTACCACCTCCCATTCAGATATCAATCGTTGTCGACATCTCGATGTTACCAGCCGAAGCACCCCGCCGCAGTATCGTCGATGACCATCTCCATAGGTAACAATTCAGATCCCAGAAGAAGAAGAGAAGAAGTTAAAAGTGGACGAAAACTGAAAGCAAAGAAACTCACAGATTAACACGACTCTTCACCGAGAAATTTGTTTTCTCGTCGGTAATATCGGTTTCTATCTCATCCTTTTTTATGCCTTTTAACATCTTGATATGAATATGTTTCTCTGAATCTTATCCTCATGTCTGTTTACATCAGATTCATGCTTGATCTTGTTGTATTTTGGTCCGTGAGCTGTTGCTATTGTTGTAAACCGAAGTAACTTTGAGAGAAGAGTTTTTTTTTATTTTTTTTTATTTTGTTTAGTTGGAAGAGAAAGATAGTATCAATTTAATGAGAGAGAAAGGAATCATTGAAGAAGGATTTACAAGAGACAAGAGAGTGTTAGTTTAGAGAGACATTTACTCGTTCAATTTTTTTTCCTTTCAAAAGTTTGCATTTAATTGAGTTTAGTAATAAATAATTAAATTAATTGTTCATCCTTCCCAACTACATGAGCGGCTAGACCTAATCGATGGCAAGCTTGGAATTTATGTTGGGTTTTTATGCTTTGTTAACCCGAATCCTTTAAGCCCAGCGAGTTAATCATCTCTCACCCCCCCATTTTATTCAAATTTCAATTTTCTTTTCTATTTTTCTATTAATTGTCTTAATTAATTTTTTTTCTTGTTACTAATTTTCTCTTATTTCCTTCACATTAAAAAATTATCAGAAAATTTTTATTATGATAGTTTTTTTTTATTTTCTTTTAAATCTTCTTCATGATAATAAAAAATCCAAAAATTAAAATTAGGATTTCATTTCCTTTTAACTTCTAATATAAAAAATAATAGAATAGGTTTTTATTTTCTTTTCTAATTTTCTCACATTCAAAAATACCAAAAATAGTATTTAGAATTTTAACTCTTGAATTGTTATCTAAGCTTTTATTTGATTTTGGTTAAATTTTCTACATGATAAAAATTAAAAAAAATAGAATGAGAATTTCATTTCTTTTTAACTTCTAATTTCTTTTCATAAAAAAAATAATTAAAATAGTAGATTAGAATTTTACTTCCTTTTGATTTAATTTTCTTAACAAGATAAAACTACAAAAATATTAGAGTAGGTTTTTTTTTAATTTTTAATTTTTTTGTATTCCTTATAACTTCTAATTCTATTTTTATTTTAGTAACTTTAGGATTTTATTTCATTTAGATTTGACTTAATAAATTTTAGAATTTTATTTGTTTTAGTTTTGACTTAGTAAATTTTAAAATTTTATTTGTTTTAGTTTTGACTTGGTAAATTTTAGAATTTTATTTGTTTTAGTTTTGACTTAGTAAACTTTAGAATTTTATTTGTTTTAGTTTTGACTTAGTAAACTTTAGAATTTTATTTTGTTTAGTTTTATTTTAGTAACTTTAGGATTTTATTTCATTTAGATTTGACTTAGTAAATTTTAGAATTTAGTTTTAACTTAGTAAACTTTAGAATTTTATTTGATTTTATTTAAGTTAACTTTAGAATTTTAGTTGTTTAGAATTAGTTTAATATTCTTCTAGAATTTTATTTGATTTAAATTTAGTTTAGTAACTTTGGAACTTTTTTTGTTTTAGATTAGCAACCTTGGGATTTTTATTTAGTTTAGATTTAATTTACTAATTTTAAAATGTTTAATTTAGCTTAGATCTAATTTAGTAATTTTAGGACTATTTTTGCAACCTTAGAATTTGTAGTTAGTTTAGAATTTTTTAGTAAGTAATCTTAAATTTTTAATTTAGTTTAAATAACTCCTTTAGATAATTAGTTACATTCCCTTTTATTTTATTTAAATATCTTTGTCATTTTAATTTCTCGATGCCTTTAGGTCATTAATCTGTTTAGTCATATTTATTTTCTTGTGAATTTCGATTGCTTATATTTTGTCGTCTATTTTATTTTGCTCGATCGATTTAATCTAAGGGAAATGTTTTTAACTTTGTTGACTTCATGTCATCAAATATATTTGTTACAATCGTGCGAATACCCTCATCCATTTTTTGCTTATTTACTATTTTTCCAAATTTAAGATAATTCTCCCAAAAGACTCCATTTTTAAACTCACACCTTTTAAGTCAAAACTTCGACACTAGATCGTCGTATCTTCAAAATCTCTCCAACACCGATTTTTAGCCAAACGAACCATTTTAATCAAACAAACAATTTTAACCAAAAACAAATATTTCAAAAGGTTCCTGCGGAGTACCGCAGATGCATTGGGTGCTAATACCTTCCCATTGTATAACCAACCCCCGAACTCTCGATCTCTTTCAAAAAACGCATTGTATTTTTATTACTTTTAAGTATTATTTTACATTGCATATTTTAGGGTTTTATTTCGCTCTTTTCCCTTTTCCCTTGGAAATAATAAAGCGCGGTGGCGACTCTTGCTTTTGCGAGTCAAGTTAATTAATAGCTTGATCTCCGATTTTCACCGCTACACTTACCGTCCTTCTTAGGCACCAGAGCGACGTTAACAACCCACTGCAGATAGGAGGTGACAGCTAAGAATCCCGCGTCGAAGTGCTTCATGACCTCTGCCTTAATTTTCTCTGACATTTTAGGGCGCATACGGCAGACCTTCTGTTTAACTGGCGGGCAATTTTCCCTAGTCGGCAGGCGATGTACCACAGTATCAGTGTCCAAACCAGGCATGTCTTCATAGGACCAGGCAAATATCTCAATGTAGTCGTGCAACATTTGTATCAACCTCTGTTGGACGCTAAGTTCCAGATTTGCACCTATTTTGACCTCTTTTCTTTCTATTTCTGTACCCAAGTTTATTGTCTCAACTGGCTCTTCATGAGGCTGTATAGCCCTCTCTTCCTGCTGTAGCAGTCTAGCAAGCTCTCTAGGTACCTCACAATCGTCCTCATCTTCGTCCTCAGCTTGGTTGATCGTATTTTCGAAGTCATAATTGGAAATAGCAGGATTGTTATCAATGGGATCCAGAGTGGATATGGATCTGCAGTTTGATATGTGAGTGTGTGTAAGAGCATAGCTGTATTGATAAAGCAAAGACAAAAAAGAAAAATAGAGAGTGCAAAATTTGTATGCAAAGAAAGTCCAATGTTTCATTGATGATATATGAGATGACACATAATAACCCTCACAGATAGAGCCATCGTGCCTCGGGTAAGACACAAGGCTAAAAAAGTTTAAATTGTTCATTACAAATTTAAAAAACAAATAAGACAAATTATTGTGGAACAAAAGAAACTGGTATGAAATCTCTGGTCGTCCAATTACTCGATCCACCGTTGGTAGTCGGGTAAATCCAGCTGTCGAAATCAGAGTCTTCTTCACTATCTTCAATAGCATTGACCTCTCGATTGCTGATGCGTAGGGGAGGTACTCCAACTCGAGCGCGTCGAATAGCTCTCTGAGCTCCTGAAGTAAAGCCCAAGCCAAACTTGTCAGTTTTGTGAATAAACTCAGGAAGTTGTCCCCAATTGGTATTTCTGCCTTCTTCAACTATTGCTCTTGCATCCCTGAGAGAATCCATCTTCAGAGGAGATCTGGTACTGGTAGTGGTCTCGGTTGACGCCAAAATCTGGGGGACCTCTTCAAAGTTTTGACAAGGAGTCTCTATAAATTCTCCGTCCATCTCCACGTAGTGGAAGGAATTGAGGTGGCTCACCATTTATTCCTCCTAACCCCGTACTATGACAATCTTTCCTTTCACCGGATACTTCAGCATTTGGTGAAGTGTGGAAGTAACAGCCCCAACTTCGTGGATCCAAGGACGACCCAACAAATAGGAGTATGACGGCCTGATATCCATCACGTAGAAGGTGGACTCGAACGTCTAAGAGCCTACTTTGACAGGGATATTCACTTCCCCATGCACCATTCTCTTTGATCCGTCAAAAGCCCTTACCACAATGTTACTAGGCTTTAAAGTCAAACCCTCGCAATCCAAACGATCCAACGCTTTCTTTGGAAGAACATTCAGTAAAGACCCAATATCTATCAGCACGTGAGTCATAGTGGTGCATCTGCATTCAATCGAGACATGCAGAGCATCATTATGCTTTCTTCCCTTTGGTGTCAAGTCGGCATCTGAGAAACCCAGCCCATTGTCGGCAGTCAGGCTAGCCACACAATCTTTGAATTAATCAGCTGAAGTCTTTTGCGGCACATGCACAGTTTTGAGGAATGCAATCAAAGCCTTCGCATGGGCCTCGGAGCACAACAACAATGATAACATGGATATCTTTGAGGGGGTCTGCCCCAACTGTTCGACCATATTGTAGTTACTCTTTTTGATTATTTTCAAAATTTCCTCTATCTCTTGCTTAGAGGCTTCCACAACAATCTTTCTAGGTGCCTCCATCCGGGCAGACTCACCTATAACTTTTTTGCCGCGAGTCCCAGATGACTTATCGGCAGGGGCGACAACTGGAGTGAGAAAAGGAATAGTAGTTGATATGCCAGATGGAAGGATAGCAGGCTTGTTGACAGTATTAGGGGAAATCTCAGGAGAGAAAACCCTTCCACTTCTAGTAATCTTGCTGGTCCCGACAATGTTACCGATATCAGGATCAACTTCTTCGGCCTTCAAGTTTTGTTTAACGCTATGATAGTAAATATCGGCACCATAATGCCAAGGAACGACTTTGTCCGAGGCGTACGGGATAGGACCAGGACATGTGATTATTAGAGGAGCAAATCTCGTAGCGGGTGTAATCCTAACAGGTCTTCTCGAGGAGGCCTTGGAAGGACTGGCGAAAATGGTTATAATAGCAATGTCTTCAGATGGAATAACGGGGACCAGAGTTTTCTCAAACAAAATTTCTTTACTGTCCATCAGGCGTTGAACACCTGACCTCAGCAAATGGTAACCGGAAGGTAGGAATGAACATATGTGGCAACCTTCACCATAACCCGGAAATAAACCGGCCGAAAACAAATTTTTCTTAACAGTCATAAGAGGAGTGGAAACTTCATCCACCGAGGTTAAAAATGGATTAGTATCAATGGCGTTAACTCCATGGTTGTGCTTAGGCATGGGAGCAGTTATGACATTGGGCTTCTCCGGAGCGTCAAACTCAATCTCTTTAGCTTCAATCAGGTCTTGTACCTTATTTCTTAGAGTCCAACAATCATTAGTGTCGTGACCAGG